GTGTCCATCCCTAGATACACCATCCATGCTAATTTGGTTAAAATATGGCTAAAATTCACTAATGTGGAAAATGTAGGTCAGATCAAGCATCCGAAGCAGGTTGGTAAGTGTACATCCCTAGATGCATCATCCATGAAAGTTTGGTCCAGGTAGGGCTTATAGTTACTTGGGAATGGGACTGCTCCAAAATCTAAACCTGGTCTCACATGTGGAAAATCTAGGTCAGATCCAGCATCTGAAGCAAGTGTGTAGTGTCCATCCCTGGATGCATCATCCATGCAAGTTTGGTCTTGGTAGGGCTTATAGCTACCTGGGAACGGACCTGCTCCAAAAACTTTAACCTAGTCACTCATCTGGAAAATCTAGGTCAGATCCAGCATCCAAAGCAAGTGTCGTAATGTCCATCCCTAGATGCATCATCCATGCAAGTTTGGTCCAGGTAAGGCTTATAGTTACTTGGGAATGGACCTGCTTCAAAAACATTAATCTGGTCACTCATCCGGAAAATCTAGGTCATATCCAGCATCCGATGCAAGTGTGGTAGTGTCCATCCCTAGATGCATCATCCTAGCAAGTTTGGTCCAGGTAGGGCTTATAGTTACTTGGGAATGGACCTGCTCCAAAAACTTTAACCTGGTCACTCATCTGGAAAATCTAGGTCAGATCCAGCATCCAAAGCAAGCGTGGTAATATCCATCCCTAAATGCATCATTCATGCAAGTTTGGTCCAGATAGGGCTTATAGTTATTTGGGTATGGACCTGCTCCAAAAACTTTAACCTGATCACTCATCTGGAAAATCTAGGTCAGAACCAGCATCTGAAGCAAGTGTTGTAGTGTCCATCCCTAGATGCATCATCCATGCAAGTTTGGTCATGGTAGGGCTTATATTTATTTGGGAATGGACCTGCTCCAAAAATTTTAACCTGGTCATTCATCTGGAAAATCTAGGTCAGACCCAGCATCTGAAGCAAGCGTGGTAGTGTCCATTCCTGGATGCATCATCCATGCAAGTTTGGTCTTGGTAGGGCTTATAGTTATTTGGGAATGGACCTGCTCCAAAAACTTTAACCTGGTCACTCATCTGGAAAATCTAGGTCAGATCCAGCATCTGAAGCAAGCATGGTAGTGTCCATCCTTAGAAGCCATACAAGTTTGGTCCAGGTAGGCTTATGGTTACTTGGGAATGGACCTGCTCCAAAAACTTTAACCTGATCACTCATCTGGAAAATCTAGGTCATATCCAGCATCCGAAGCAAGAGCGGTAGTGTCCATCCCTAGATGCATCAGCCATGCAAGTTTGGTCCAGGTAGGGCTTATAGTTACTTGGGAATGGGACTTGCTCCTAAAACTTTAACCGGGAGGCTGACACTAACGCCAACACCGACACCGACGCCGGGGGTATAGCATAAGCTCATCTCGACTTCGTCGAGGTGAGCTAAAAATGAGTAATTCTATTTTTGTGAGTAGTGCTTCTAGCAAAATTACGCGATAATTAATTCCTCGCATATATTTAGGATTGGACAGTTATCAACAGAGCCCTACCTTAACAGTGGGACCTCTGACCTACCGGGGCCATGATATGCACAATTTATATAGTTTATATGCTCCAAAAAGTTTAACCTAGCTATTCAGTCATCCAGAAAATGTAGGTCAGATCTATAAGATCCCAAGCAAGTCTGGTAGTGTGCATCCCTAAGTCATCATCAATGCAAGTTTGATCCAGAAAAGGGGAATAGCATAAGCTCATCTCGATTTTGTCAAGGTGAGCTACATAAACATTAACGACTTGCCCAATCCTGAAAAATCAATTTCACATGGGGATGGGTGGAGGGTATAAAAAGACACTTCCCTTGTTCAATTTTCTTCAGTTACTGAACTTGACTCTCCTTACCACTACAAGAAGGACTTAGGGGGTGTCCAATGTCATTTTTTAAATTTTTTGTTACTTTTACTTTACTGTTTTCCCATGTATTCCAGATTTAAACTTTGATGTCCTATTGTAGAGGCCATAATATGAACAAACTAGAATATAGGCTGTGAGGAAGCTTTTAGGCAGTGATTTCTTCATTGATTTTATAGAATTTTGATTCTGATATATACATAGAAGTCCTATGGAAACTTGAATAGTGGGTTAATTGTTTTGAAGATCTAAGCTAGGGTGATACATGTCAAGCCACAGATTCAAGACCTAGAAAGCTTACCATTTTAAAAGAAAAAAGATATTCCATGTGCTTTCAAATGTCACAGAATGTGCGAAAACTACAATGAGGATTAAAATTACCATAATTACACTTTATTTTTAAACTTGATTTTTTTTTATTGCCTTTGGTGCATTCACACCTGTAGGTCAAATTTCCTGTGCCATTTCACTATCAGATATACCAGTATTGCTTTTTTAAACCTATAATATCTCTTTTTGAGATTTATAAAAAGATATACAAAAATTGTTTATTATAAATACATTTAGCTTCCACAGAAGGTTTTTAAGGTCTCATCCAAAGGACCCACAACTTTCACTTCAAAGTGCTGAGCGCATGGTGAAGGAACAGGTGCTACCCATTTTTTATCTACTTAGGTCAGTCGCAGCTGAGATTCGAACTCACAACCTCCCGATCACGAAGCGAGCGCTCTACCGACTGAGCTACCATGAACGGTACCTTTTCATAGACAAAAACTATGAAGCATGATATTGTCAACGCATTTTGAGTTCGTTATCTCGAAATGTTATTTGATATTTTTCTTCACTTTTCATTGTACATAATGGTAATGTCTATAGTCATAATGCTTTTTAGTTTACACCAAATTTTGGTGGATATAAAAACATTGCCACAAATTTAGACTTATTATAAATAATTTAATTGAAATCCAACGGAGTGCAGTTATTGATATGTAACCATGCTGTTTAAAAAATTGAAAACTGAATTTAAATACTAAAACATAGGTAATCAAAGATTACGAAGCTCACCTCGACGAAGGTTATCTATAAGTAAGGCAAATCTCACATCATATTTTTTCTAGTTAGTGTACATCCCAAGATCAATATCTATACAAGTTTGGTTTAAGAAGGACTTATAATTACTTGGAAATAGACCTGCTCAAAAAACTTTAACCTGGTCACTCATCTGGAAAATCTAGGTCAGATTCAGCATCCGAAGCAAGTGTGTAGTGTTCATCCCTAGATGCATCATCCATGCAAGTTTGGTCCAGGTAGGGCGTATAGTTACTTGGGAATGGACCTGCTCCAAAAACTTTAACCTGGTCACTCATCTGGAAAATCTAGGTCAGATCCAGCATCCGAAGCAAGTGTGGTAGTGTCCATCCCTAGATGCATCATCCATGCAAGTTTGGTCCAGGTAGGGCTTACAGTTAATTGGGAATGGATCTGCTCCAAAAACTTTAACCTGGTCACTCATCTGGAAAATCTAGGTCAGATCCAGCATCCGAAGCAAGTGTTGTAGTGTCCATCCCTAGATGCATCATCCATACAAGTTTGGTTCAGGTGGGGCGTATAGTTCCTTGGGAATGGACCTGCTCCAAAAACTTTAACCTGGTCACTCATCTGGAAAATCTAGGTCAGATCCAGCATCCGAAGCAAGTGTGGCAGTGTCCATTCTAGATGCATCATCCATGCAAGTTTGGTCCAGGTAGGGCTTATAGTAACTTGGGAATGGGACTTGCTCCTAAAACTTTAACCGGGACGCCGACGCTAACGCCAACGCCGGGGGTATAGCATAAGCTCATCTCGACTTCGTCGAGGTGAGCTAAAAAGTATGTGTATGTAAGTATATGTATGTAATTGTAATTATTATCATATCAAGCTCAAATAATACAATCAATACATATACTTTCCAGCGCAATAACCCAGACAAGTACAGGAACAGTCAGAATAAAAGCAATGTAATACACTGAATTGATTAAATTCTAAAGAATTTACATTGTATTTACAATATAGAATTCACCACAGTTCATTGCTGGTGAAATACCTGTATTGAGTAACACAGAGTGAATAATTCTTGTCCTCGAAGAAAGTGTGCTAGACTGAGGTATTGTTCCACTGTGTTTTAGGTACCATGGAATTTAGGATTTGCTTTCTCTTTAGTGTCTTTTATATGCATAAAAGATAGATACACAAGCCCCTACTAAAAAAAAATAGTCTTTGAAAAGACAAGAATTTAAAACTATAAAAGTGTGGCACCAGGTGGATTCAAACCATGACTCTAAAAAAATATTAGCTATGCTAAAGTCAGCTGTTATACCAATTGAGCTATTCTGGCTATGAAAATAGATGGTATAAATATGAACCAGGTTGTCAAAAACAGGTTTCCTTATTTTTTGTAGGTGTTTTGTGAATTTAGACTCTAGGGCAGGGGTGCCCCTAAAAAAATCCTATCTTAAATAATTCCTTAGATCACAACTTATCAAAAATATAATTTTATTTAGGGGCAGGCCTGCCTTTAGATAGCACGTTCTATTATTAAAATGATATTGTCCTACGGACCCGGTTATGGTGAGGGCTTGTCCCGAGACACAGTTAGATTATTCTAACTAGCCTGCCTTGAAGGACTTCTAGACCAAAATTCATGGAGAAATCTGTGCTTTCATGGAGAAAATGCTGTTTTAACCAACTTTGGAAATTAATTTGAAGTTTGCAAATAATAAATCTTACTAGGTTCAAAAAGCAAATTTGAAAAATTTAGACCAATAAATGGGAGAAAATAACTAATGAACATTGATTTTTGGACATTGTTCTCTCCTATAGGACAATTCTTTTGAAATTCAGAATACTGGTACATCCTTTCTAACAGAGCTAGAACAAAGTCTATACAGTATTATAATTTCAGAATTGAACTTTTTCGTGGTGCCTTTTTTAACTGGGCATCAAAGAAAACATGACTCAAGGATTAGTCATTAATTCTAGAATGTCTACTCTACATTTACTATACAACCATAACTCAGAGGGGTCATTGAGCAAATAAATTATTTTGACATCTTACATACCTTTCCTATGTCTGTAATTTTGGAGCATTTCAAAATCAAAATCACCATGGCAACCAGAACAACTTCAGCTAAGGATTCTGGGAAGTCCTGCAGGAGATCAGCCTCTCCATGGCTAACCTTGTCTCTGACCCTGGGGCCCTCAGGGTAAACTAAAAGGTCAAACAAGAGGTCCTGAAAAATCAAACGCAACAATAGATATACACAAAAGAGCAAGTCTGAAAAAAATCCACAAAATTCTTGTTACTGTCTGAATTTTACAGGGCACTATATTGTACATTATACTTTTAGATAAATATGTATGGTATTAATTTAACAAGAGGCCCAAGGGCCTTAACGGTCACCTGAGTATAATACAACAATTTAGAAGTTAAATACACTGATAGTTGAAGCTTTGTTGCCCTAAAGCAAGAGAAGTAGGAAGATCAGGATCAACAAAATAATTAGTCTAGTATTCAGTATCAACTCATAAATTAAGTTCTAATCTGTCCCCCACTTAACACTATGCAGACTATTAACAAACTATTAGTGCTTCTGTACTATTTTTAAACCCATATTAAGACCTCTAGCATTGACCTCTCTTATGGTCTTTGAAAAACTTTTAATAAGATAAGTTGTTTTTGTCTCATTTTTATTTATCTATTACTTACAGGTCTACCTGTTTATTAAAACTAAGAAAGTACTTTTTTAATTACACGATAAACATTCTTGCATAATTATCTTATTCTATTAACCTTTCAAATACATTATTTACAGTGATTAATTATCAAAGGTGAATGGAAAAGGGGAATAACTTCTCTCAGTAGAATACAAATTAATAGAGCCCTGCCCAGGACCAGAATGCTTAGACCAATGGTGCAGATGTTTAAAAATCTGGTAGAAATACGCTTACTCATATCATTTAAACTTTTACTCAGTTTGCTTCCAATATGCCCAGAAGCAGAGAAGAATTTCACAGGCACAATGCATTTTCACTACAGATTCAACAAAGCCTTACCCTAAAACCAGAACCCAAGACCAAGGGTCAAGAAATTTACAAATTTGGAAAAGTTTCCCTCATCATCATAACTATGGACTTCAAAGAATTAACACTTTTCCACTATATTATCAAAAGCCCCCCCCCCCCCCCCCTCGTTATGCCAGAAACTGACCCTAGGACCACAAGATTTAAAAATTCTGTTCAAAGCTCCCATTTTCATCATAGCTAAGCAATTTATTTATCAGCTCAACACTAAGGAGCAGACAGGATTAATTAATGATTAATAGAATTAATGCTTTTTCACTATATAATCAATAGAGCCCCCCCCCCCCCCCCACCTCCTCAAGAACCCCAAAAACTGAGGCCATATATTTAAAAATTTTGGAAGAGGCATCCTTGTCTATCATAATCATGCACTTAGTTTGTTTATATAATCTCCAGTAGCAGAGAAGAAGATTTTCAAAGAATCAATGCATTTTCACTATATAATCAATAGAGCCCCGCCCTAACACCAGAACCCCTGACCCTGGGGCCATGAAATTCACAATTTTTGAAAAGGCACTTTTGCTCATCATAACTATGTACTTAGTTACTTTATTTAATACCCAGGAGCAGAGAAGAAGATTTTCAAAGAAATAATGCACTTTCACTATATGAGCTATATAGCCCCACCCTGGGGCCAGAACCCCTGACCCTGGGGCCATGAATTTCACAATTTTGGTAGAGGGCTCCATGCTTATTACAATGATGCCAACAGTTTGACTGCTTGATGTCCAGAAGTAAAGAAGAAGATTTTTAAAGATTGCATTAATTTTGGTGGTTTTAGCCCCACCCCTCAGGCCCCAGGGGGGCAGGGATCATGAAATTCACAATTTATGTTCCCCTTCACCCATAGATGCTATATACCAAATTTGGTTGAAATTGGTTGAGCGGTTTTAGAGAAGAAGTTAAAAATGTTCAAAAGTTAACGCACGACGGACGACGCACGACGACGGACGAAAACAGATAGCAATAGGTCACCTGAGTGACTCAGGTGACCTAATAAAAATGAACTTCTTTAAGCTCATCCCTAAGGACACATAAGAAATATTTATATTGTAAAAGTAATTTAAATTGTCATCCATTCCCTGGTTTGGGGTTCAATAAAAACAGTACTTTCCATGAGATTTTCTCCAAGTCTTTCTGGAAGTTTGTTCCTTTCTCCATTAGGTAAATGTTTATCAAATATCTAATGTGAAGAAAGAAATTGAAATGTTACTTAATTAATTACTAGTATATCAAAATTGTCATATTTTGTTATTATTGTTTCACAGAAAGTTAATAAATTGAAAGAATAATTACAGACTTTAGAAATTTTTCAATTAACTACACATTAACATTTATCCAAAGCAGAACAAAACAAAAGAGAAGGAAGTATTATCTGACCTCATCAAATGTAGTATAGAGGGTAGTGTACTGCAAAAAAAAATGAAAAAATAAATAAATTCAGTAACAAGTATACGGTACAAGGAATTATATACTGGTTAATCAACTGATACATTATACATTAGCCACAACTTCTGATATAAAGACAACCAAATATTTAATACACAAAAAATAGTTCAGAGGTCACATCAAGTTTACAGAAACATGGTACATGAAAGTGCAGTACACTGTAAATGTACTTTTTTCCACCAGGTCAATAGTTCTGCGGAATCACAACTACTGTATAATCCACAGGTAGAAAATTATGAGGATTTCTTGGATTGCTGATGTATGTCTTAAATGCAATTTAAGTATGCTAAGACAAATTTTAGCGGAAAGTCTGTGACAGACATTCCAATATACACCCCCCCCATAAACTTCATTTGCAGGGGAGTAAAATAAACCTCACAAAAATTAGTGATTTCACAATACATCTTGTGACTAGAACTAACCTCTGCCGTAAGCAGTCTTTCTGAGCAGCCATTTTCTTTGGTAAATACCAGCCTTAGAATGTGCTCCAGTTGAGGTAGCAACAAAATGGTGGCATAGGAATATTGTTTGTCAGCCATTAAGTCTAAGGAACATTGTATCAAATGCTGCCGGCCATGGAGATCCTGAGTCATTTCCACTAGCTCCTTCACCAGGGGCAATTTGTTTCTCATGTCTAGTTAGATAAAACATTACTGGGTTATACTTCATATAGACACAACAATACATCTGGAAAATACTGTATATAAATACAAAACAATATTATTTACATGATGTATTGTACAATACTGTATACAGACAAAACAATATTACCAGACAATATTCTTTTGTATACAGACAAAACAACACTGCACAGATATATTATAATATACCTTTTCTTCATTCATGCATTTTACCTTTTCTAAACAAAATATGTCGTTGTCCAAGCAATTCTGAATTTTAAGTTTTTTCACCATTTTTATTAGGGATGGCAATCAAATACAGAATTGCTAATCAGTTAACCGTAATACATTCTGACCGATTAACCAGTTAATCGTGTCGCCTAAATAAAATCAAACAAAACGCTGATTCATTTATATTGCAAACTCTAAATCTTTGAGGTAATTAAACTTAATTACCTAGAGCATGAGAGGTGAAGTTTGGATCTAATTTGAACTGCATGAGCTGTCTATGGACCTGTACGTGTTGACCCCTCTCCTCCAGGAGTTTACCAAAACTAGGCAGGGTGAGGTAGAGGAAACATCCATATCTATAAGACAGATTTCATTCTGAATAAATGACACCTTGAATCTATAACTGTCACTGTAAATCTCAAAATTCATTCTTAGACTATCAGGTAATTAAAGAATCAACATTCCATCATCCAGCAATCTTACAGTGATTGATTTTCAGAATGGCTAGTGGTAAATGGGACACAAATCAAAACAGAATATTTGATTGTATACCTCTTTGGTATCTCCCCAACATTAGGAAATCCATGCCACACAATATTTCTCAGGTTAAGAGAAGTTGGAGGACCAATTACAACTCGTAAAAGTTGGATCTGTAAAATTAGAATTTCCAGATAAATAAGAAATTGACCCAAAAAAACCCAAACACACAAACAAATCAAATGCAAGTTAGATATTTTCTGTCAAACGGGATACTAACAATCACAGTAATTCCCAATACAGTCAAACCTCGTTATCTTGAACTTGATGGGACCGAGAAAAAACTTTGAGATATCCAATGGTTCGAGACATTGAGGGTAAAATACTAAATAGAAAGAGTGCTTTGGACCACCAAATCACTTCGACATATCCATGGTATTCGAGATATCCATGTTCAAGATACCGAAGTTCAGCTGTATAGTGTACAAATTACCAGGTTCATTTGTACATTTCGACAGCTAACTGCTTGTAAATACGTTATTATCAGCAATGACATTAATACAACTCTTTAAATTTTTTCATGAAATTTTTTTTTATGTGAAATTTACCAATTTGTCTTGATCACTTCTATAACTTTTCACTGCATGAATATACTGTTCATTATCTTGGTTTTAGGCAGAAATGCAACATTCTCTAATTGACTGCTAATTAAGCTAGAATTAAACTGTAGTACAACAATAAACAATGGCTGAACTTAGTGTAGGGAAAATTACTCCAATGATGCTCTCTTACTGTATATACTCGCCTATAAGTCGGTCCGCCTATAAGTCGGTTGTATTTTTTGATGTCATTTTGGTAGTATTTGCCATTGACCCGCTTATAAGTCGGTACAAATTTTTACCGGATTTGGTTAACAATTTCAAATCAATGCTCTGATGTTTTAACCTGGTTTTAATTAATATTTTCAGAAATAACGCAAATAATTAATTCTAAGTCATTAACAAATAAGGAATTCACACTTAAGGTAAAATAAACTACAATACAATACACTAAAATATGTAAATACTTGTACTTTATGTATAATCTTAGCATACATGTACATAAATGATATACTATATCCAGAATTTATTCAACGACAATCGTCGGAAATGTTTATAAAATACTACATTTGGTTTTCCAGAAAAATGCCAGTTTTTTTCAATGACTCACCTATAAGTCGGATATAGAGTTTGGGACCAATATTCAACTTCCAAAAAATCCGACTTACAGGCGAGTATATAGGGTAAAAGGCATTTTATATTTTTGCATTTCAAGAAAATGCCTGCCTTTAACAAGATCTCTGATGAGACTGTAGCTTTAATACTGTAGATTCCTAAATATACGCAAGAAATAAATTATCGCATAATTTCACTAGAAATACCAGTCGCGAAGTAAAATTACTCGCTTTTATTTTTATGGTGCTTTAAAATGTATGTAAAGTTTCTAAGCCAATCCTCCACTTGCAAATTATTGTTCTCGCGATTTGACGACCTAGAGCAATTTTGCGATATTGAATACTCAGGAAAAATAAGGTATCTACAGTAGTTTGTACATCTATGATTACACCTCTATACTGGTACAAGTAAGTAATCCAACCAGTCAAATCCTGAGGAAGTAGTAGCATTTTCAAATAATTCCTAACAGATGAATTGGTCTGTTTGAACACTTTGAATTAGAAAATAAGTTTTTACTTTATTTTTTTTCACATTTTTACCTATTTTTGCCTTTATTGCTGACCCTAAGAATCAGGTCAGGAATAACAAAACTATGGAAGTTGTGTTAAGTTACTGTGAAATTCACAGGAAAATCCCCATATAGAGGGTACAGTAGGTATATGTCTAGGTATTATTCACTAATTTGAAGCTGATAATTAATGTGGTGATTTTAAATAAAGATATCCTGTGTGAAAGGAGTTAATAATTAACATCTACGTCACTATATACTTCGAGGCTGAAGAGTGAATTTTGATACAAATGGTAGGAAATACTTAAGTACACAGTCAAGTATACTGTATACAGAAACATGATACACAAAAGTGCAGTACACTATAAATGTGGTTGAGGCTATCTGGTACCGCTTGCAGGGATGGCTGGCATGAGTTATCTCTCCATAAGTGTGTATGAGTTATCTCGCATTACAACGGTGATAACCATGAATTTGTACCCTTATTAAAAAGTTCCACATCAATCGTTCTCTAGAAAGATTAATGTGTATTTAATATGTAAAACGTAATAATTAAGAGAGAGAGAGAGAGAGAGAGAGAAAATTTTATGTTTTCTAATTGCTGATCTTAAGATCTTGCGAACTTGCCGGTGGTAAGGGGGAAGGGGTGGGTCGTCACAATAATTTTAACATTAATGATTATAAAATAGTCACAATAATTTTAACATTAATGATAATAAAATGGAAACAAAGGTGTTTAACAGAGCTGTGACCCCCCCCCCCCCCAATATAAGTTTATTTACTTTAATATTTAATTTTTGTATTTATCTATTTATTTACAATGTATTTAATTCATATATTTTGGCTTCTAAAGGAATTTCTCTTTGGTTTTGCCCCCAAACTTTTTAATTAATATTGCCTAGAGAGCACAACCCTGGATCAATGGAGAGCCGCGATTCCCAGACCAATAAATATCTAACCCCCCCCCCCCCCTCACACACACACCTCCCTACACACAGAGAGAGAGAGAGAAACCCGCCTGATGCAAGATATGCACTTTTATGAACGGGATGCATCTTGATATAAACAGCATTACAAAAAAACTTTTCATTCTAACTGCTCAATATTTTTCAGTGAATAATTCTTCATTTCATTTTCTTTTTTTAATGCTTTGGCACCATTAAACAGTATCGAATGCATATAAAAAAAACTAGAGACATTTAGACAAAAATATCGGTTTATTTCCTATCATTCGATATATTGGTGGTAAAGAGTGCTTGTGATTATACAGATTTAGCTCATGCTTCAACTATTATTAAAGTTTATCTAAATTTGGCACTCTGAGAAATGTGGCCAAACATGAAAGGATTGTTATAAGAAATTAGGACACAGCTGAGCAATCAACTCCTCATGCATTCTATTGAAATTAAAACAAAACATTAAGATTAAACAGAAAAAAATATCGAGAACTGGATTATTTTGAGGGTAATTTTATTCTAAATATGCAAAAAACAAACACAAAAAAGGAGAAGACATTTACGCCACATGATACAAAAATAAAGCACTCTACCTCTAACAGGTACCAGATAATGATGCTATCTACCTCTAACAGGTACCAGATTACAGGACAACCTACCTCTAACAGGTACCTGATTTCAAAGCTACCTACCTCTAACAGGTACCAGATTTCAAAGCTACCTACCTCTAACAGGTACCAGAGTTCAAAGCTACCTACCTCTAACAGGTACCAGATAATGATGCTACCTACCTCTAACAGGTACCATATTACAGGACAACCTACCTCTGACAGGTACCGGATTTCAAAGCTACCTACCTCTAACAGGTACCCGATTTCAAAGCTACCTACCTATACCATGTACCAGATTTCAAAGCTACCTACCTCTACCATGTACCAGATTTCAAAGCTACCTACCTCTAACAGGTTCGATATTTCAAAGCTACCTACCTCTAACAGGTACCAGATTTCAAAGCTACCTGCCTCAATTAGGTACCAGATTTTAAAGCTACCTACCTCTAACAGGTACCAAATTACAGGACAACCTACCTCCAACAGGTGCCAGGTTTCTAAGCTACCTACCTCTAACAGGTACCAAATTACAGGACAACCTACCTCCAACAGGTACCAGATTTCTAAGTTACCTACCTCTAACAGGTACCAGATTTCAAAGTTACCTACCTCTAACAGGTACCAGATTTCAAAGCTACCTACCTCTAACAGGTACCAAATTACAGGACAACCTACCTCCAACAGGTACCAGATTTCTAAGTTACCTACCTCTAACAGGTACCAGATTTCAAAGCTACCTACCTCTTACAGGTACCAGATTTCAAAGCTACCTACCTCTAACAGGTACCCGATTTCAGAGCTACCTACCTCTACCATGTACCAGATTTCAAAGCTACCTACCTCTACCATGTACCAGATTTCAAAGCTACCTACCTCTAACAGGTACGATATTTCAAAGGTACCTACCTTTAACAGGTACCAGATTTCAAAGCTACCTGCCTCAATTAGGTACCAGATTTTAAAGCTACCTACCTCTAACAGGTACCAAATTACAGGACAACCTACCTCCAACAGGTGCCAGGTTTCTAAGCTACCTACCTCTAACAGGTACCAAATTACAGAACAACTACCTCCAACAGGTACCAGATTTCTAAGTTACCTACCTCTAACAGGTACCTGATTTCAAAGCTACCTACCTCTAACAGGTACCTGATTTCAAAGCTACCTACCTCTAACAGGTACCAGAGTTCAAAGTTACCTACCTCTAACAGGTACCAGATAATGATGCTACCTACCTCTAACAGGTACCATATTACAGGACAACCTACCTCTGACAGGTACCGGATTTCAAAGCTACCTACCTCTAACAGGTACCCGATTTCAAAGCTACCTACCTCTAACAGCTACCAGAGTTCAAAGCTACCTACCTCTACCATGTACCAGATTTCAAAGCTACCTACCTCTAACAGGTACGATATTTCAAAGCTACCTACCTCTAACAGGTACCAGATTTCAAAGCTACCTGCCTCAATTAGGTACCAGATTTTAAAGCTACCTACCTCTAACAGGTACCAAATTACAGGACAACCTACCTCCAACAGGTGCCAGGTTTCTAAGCTACCTACCTCTAACAGGTACCAAATTACAGGACAACCTACCTCTAACAGGTACCAAATTACAGGACAACCTACCTCCAACAGGTACCAGATTTCTAAGTTACCTACCTCTAACAGGTACCAGATTTCAAAGCTACCTACCTCTTACAGGTACCAGATTTCAAAGCTACCTACCTCTAACAGGTACCCGATTTCAAAGCTACCTACCTCTACCATGTACCAGATTTCAAAGCTACCTACCTCTACCATGTACCAGATTTCAAAGCTACCTACCTCTAACAGGTACGATATTTCAAAGCTACCTACCTTTAACAGGTACCAGATTTCA